ATGTATGAAGACCTGTGCCAAATTTAAGATTAACTATTCTGTGCTCAATGAAGTTATAAATTAAGTATGAAAGAAACTGAATTGAGAAGTTTCAGTCTGTGACTCCAGAAGTCATGCCAGACAATTCTGCTGAATGGTGACAGCTTCTTTCTACCTCTCTTATCCCTTATTTCTGGTCACCTGAGATAATCTCTTTTTTACTTCAACTAAATTAGCTAAGGAACCCCTCTCTGCAGTCACTAACAGAGTAGAAAATCATCTGTGTGTTTCTGCTGGCTTAATTTTTCGTTCTACTTTAGAAGCTCTGATCCAGGAGGTTTTGACAACCTTTGGAGCTGAAATGAAAAGAGCATCAGGAGGTTGTTCCTGAAGCTGCAGTAAAATGGAAGAAGTAAGTCAGTTCTTCTCTTTTTAGTAGCAGTGAACTGCTAGAACAGCTCCTCACATTTCTCCATCAAATCTTTAGAACACTTGAGAAATGTGAGCTACGATCTAAAACTGGCCAAAGAATTTTTGCCAACTCCCCTTTCTGAGTGCTGTAGTTTTCCTTGCTCTCTTGCTCCAGCTTCATCACTTCTACAAACCCTCAGTGAGCCAAACAGGCTCAGCAGAACAGAAAAAAAGCAGTCCTGATTTTCTTTGCTTTTGCCAGGTTAGCTTTCTCTGAGCATTTTGTGAACTCAGTCAACTCCCTAAGACATCAGACAAGCCCAACGGCTACTGGAAAGTAGGACTTGACAATGACCTGAGCCCGAACGCATTTCAGAATAGATCTTTGGGGACAGTGCCATTATAGCAACGGGAAGTAAATTCACAGTGCTGATAAAGGTTTCCTTAGAGCAGATGGAATTGCCTCTTTAACATAAACTTCTACCCTTAGAGGATGTTCCAGGCCAAAATGAGCAAATCTATGAGGAGAGATTCAAATGAGATTAACACAGATCTATGATGCACTCAATACATCCTAAAGCTTCCTTGTAAGTATAATCACTCAGAGCTCAGACTAAAACATCATACCAGCACTCTGATGCCAGTGTACTGTGGATTGGGAAATAAACCTGTCCAGACTTGTCTGGGAGCTGGAAAGTGGGTTAGAAATGCCTTTGTACCTCCTTTCACTGCATTAACTAGATCTTGTGTTTAGGTGCCAACTTAGACCCTTATGCACATATTGTTTCAAATAGTTAATAATAAAATTCTTAAAAGTGCTTTTAGGGGCTGTTTGTCTCTAGAAGTGTGTTGAGACAAAATTCAAATGAATTATTATACTTCTATTAATATAACAAAGAATAAATGTGTCAAAGCTAGTAAGCCAACTGGATGCCCAGATTAGACCCAGTTGCATGCTTACTGCAACAACACCTTTGCATACAGCGTGGCAACACCACAAAAGTAGCTGCCACTTAAACAGCCTGAACATGAATACCACTTGACAAGGGAAAAGTGATTATATTCCCTATCCGCTCAAACCTTCTCCTCGCAGATAATGATGTGGTTAGAAAAGGTGGATTGCACCAATTTAACTGAAAGATTTGGTCCCTTTTGTACCTGCCATGAGCCACCTCCCCTTCCCAAGCTTAACCAGCTCCATATACTAGCAGATCAATAATGCAAGTGACATTTTCTGCATGTTTACTACTCCAAACCAGAGAGACTCACCAAAGAATTATGTGAATACCAGAGCCCAGATTAGGCAAGGAGTGGTACTGCTCAGCAGAAAGTGAAGTTGAAGAAATAAGTCAAAGACAAAATATGAGGGGAACCACTCCTGTCAGTAGTAAGGAGCTGTTAAATCAGCTCGGCACATCTGGTCTAACCACATCATAAGATTCATTTTCATTCTCCTGATTTCATCTAGTACTCACTGGTATTTTTTCCCTCAATATCACTGCCCCCATCTCCTTCAAAGATTGTGGAAAAATAACACGAATTATAGTCAAGCATAGTCCTTCATTATCTCTATATCAGTAATACTAAATTTCTAACCTTAAGTCTTGCTCTCCACACAATGATCTTAAGTGATGTCCCAAAATAGACATAACTGGGATAGTTCAACTGGAAAGAGAATCCTATAAATAAATTTTTAAAAGCACCACAACTGCTGAGTCAGTAAAGCATCAAAAGATATAGAGTGCTCTGATGTTGGAAGACTTTCATGTGAGACGAAACCCAGGCATCTCCTGATCAGTTGTCATCACTGCTGACCCCCTGACTTCCCTCACAGTAGAAGTGCTGTTAACATCAGCATCCTGATGATTTTCTAGTTTCTGGAAATTTTCAGCATGCACTCTGTGAGATCTATGGCTGTATAAATGAAAGAAAATATTCTTTAACTCATCTTTTAAGTAACTGATCTATAGTGTTGCTGTGTATCTAAAAAAGGCATCTACTTTTCTTTATCTCTCAGCACCAGGGAATTAATGCACATTTTACTCAACCTGTCACGTGTACACCAATAAACAGAAAAAGAGCATGCACATATACCCAGTGGTATAATAGAAAGGTTTTACTCAGCCTGGGCTTTAAATGGCCTTTTTATTTTGAAGTGGTGATTATACACTCAGATCACTTCTAGAGATCACCAGAAATGATTGCCAGTAAACTTTTTTACAGCACCACCTGGTCATGTGTTCTTCTCCACGTCAGATTCTGCATTGAAAATTATTTTATAAAGGCATTACAGAATTTTTAAGGCTTTTCACTGCTACTATTTTTCCTAGAAGATAAATCTTTCTATTACAGAGATTATGAGATGACTGTGCATATGCCTCTGGGGAATATTATAATTAGATGGTGATTGATTCTCTTGTAATAATCTTTTGTTTATAGTCCAACATTAACTGGCTGGTAGCAAGTACCCACTTAAAATTTAGAACTTTCCTACTTCTGGGAGTATAAAGCAGCTATTTTTGGACCTGCAGTTGTGTGTAGGGATTTACAACAGGAACATTCAGCAGCAAGGCAGGTAGCATTACAGAAGTCCAACACTTGTTAACAGAAGAAAAAATTTCAGATGCTTCTAGTATTCAAAATCCTAATTATTTAAAATTTATTCTGTATTTACTAAATTGCTCCTTAGAATACAGAAAAAAAGATAGATTTTTACCATTGGAAATGCTATAAGATTCTGCAAAACAGAACACAGACTTGGTCTTTTACATGGATATGCTTTTCCAGTCTTACTAAATTTTGCCCCAGTTTGATCAAGTCACAAATAGTGGGAAATCAGTTCTTTATCATTCAGAACAATATGTCATATATTTCAATGCTGGAGCATACTAAATTTTTGTCCTCGCTCTCTGTCTTGATCAAAGTCGGCCAGTACTTAAGAAAAAAAGTAAGGAGCTAGTAATGGAGCTGTAGTATAAAGTTACAGTGATCCAAAAAAATCAGAAAGACATTCTATTTTCTACTTATTAAGGAAGACTAAGAGAGCTGGGACTTTTCAGCCAAAGGAAGGCTAAGTTAAATACTGTGATTCTTTAATTATAGTTCTACAATATATTGGCTTCAAAGTAAAGGTAAAAGATTTCTCTAGCAACCTGATCTTGCATCTGCCTCTTAGTACTCAGAGTAATTCAGAGGCACAGTGAAAAGCAAAACAAAAGACCAGGAAAGAACATGGTGGGGACAAAGTATGCTGAGAGTAGTGTTTAAGAGTAGAGGAGACACTATAACAGAGTTCATAAAGGTGAAATTCTCACTTTCTTAGTAATGAGAAATAAGTTGTCTGTGAGCTACACGACTAGTTTATAGACAGACTTGAGGAAATAAATGCTGGCTTGATCTTGACTCTGTCTCATCCTACATTGTGCAGCCAGATACCAGAGTAATTTGTTGAAATAAAAATTATAGTATTATATTATAGTACAAGGATCATTTACATACTGTATCTTTTATTCAGTTAGCAGCTGGGAAAACTCCAAAACCTTCTGTGCCATCCAAGCCACAGCTGTAAGCAATCTGATCTGTAAGGTGTTACATGAGGAAGGCCTACTCGAGGGGAAGCACACGGCAGGAACATACAATGGGTGCTGGCGTAGCACCCTTACATAATCTCTGATACGCTTTTTTGAGGGAGAGGAGGAACAGAAGTCAGCTTCACCTTGAAACTGTACTTACAGCTACTCTATTATTTTAACTTGCATATTTTTGTTTGTGCTTTTAGCATTTAAGCTACGAAGTCTAATCACATATATATATGTGATATATATATATACATGTTTATGACTTGTGAGTCATGACATTTAATATTCTCCATCAACATTAGTATGTGTTTGTTTATAATAATAAGCTAGAGCTTATCTCATGGTAGACAAATTTCATATTACAGAATGATTGCTGAGCTTGGGAAGGTGTGCTCATTTGCATTTAATTCTTTTTTTAAGACAGTGAAATCCTGCCACCCTCTGGACAACAACTAAACTAAGACATACATTATCAGCCACAAAAGTAAAAACAAACAAACAAAGTCATATTCATTGCTTTTTAACATAGTTAAATTAATTGCTAGACTGAATAAAAAATAGCAGTTATTATGAAACTACAAACAAAACAATATTTTAAGTACTGAATAATTTACTTAGCATTAGTTTCTAATAAAAAGGAAATCCATTCTTAACCTTTTCTAACAGCAACTTCATTGTTCACCGCTGTATTTCTAAAGAATCTGTACCAAAATACAAGTCTCTTCATGCCAAAAGATAAAAAGACTTCCACAGACCAGAATATTTTGGAATTTCTAGCATTTCTGAGATTAAGTCAGGAGCAAATGTGCATAAAATAAGAGTTCAGGAGGAGAAAGAAAGTGAAAAAGAGTTTGTATTTTTAGCTTAATTTGTTGCTTTAAGATCTAGCAATATGAAAGAATATTTCTTGCATTCACATGGCATGCTTCACCTATTGCTAATGATAGTACTAGTCAATGCATTAATATGATCATTTGAAACAGTAAATGTCTGTTTGGGAAGGAAGGCTGTTGCATATGTGTTGTACAGTACCTTGCTTTTGCTACAGAGCCCAGTCGCTGCTGTTCTTGGATAAGCTCAGCCAACTGTTTTTGCAGAGACATATCTTTACCATGCACTTGTTTAATAAAGGGATGCTCCAACAGGTGGGTAACTGTAGGACGTTTCTCGAAATCCTTGATAAGACACCTGCAACAGAGAAATAGTGGTCTCATGCAACCATGTTATTTCATTACAGCATGGTTTGAGTTGGCTTACTTCACATGGTTGTTACTGCAATGTTTGTTTTTTCCACAAATTCCTCGGTATGCAGAGTTCCTGGGTATGCAAAGAAAATTTTCTTCTACATTGGAATAAAGCTGACATTAATACTTGACGAAGTAAATTCAACCTGCAACTATATTACTTATAAAGGTTATGAATCTTAGATTATTTCAGTCTTTTTTTGGAAAACTGTAACTAGCTTACTATGAAAAGTTGACATTGTAATTGCTGTACAGTTAATAGACACCAAACATAACCAAAGATGAATAGACAATATTTCATTCAATTTAATTTTCTACCTACTCTCCAGTGAGAGTTTTGACCAAGAGCTTCAGGATATAGCCTAATAAAATCTAAAGTGAAACTTGCAATACATCAATAGTTCAAACAATTCATTATAAGCTTTATTCTGTGCTAAAATAAATATTTCAGATACAGCTGCTATACTGTGATGCTAAGTTGTTAGCGGAAGAATCATAGAACATTCTGCAAACCCTCATAATTCAGAATGGAACAGAAATCAGTGTCAGATTTAAATGCTAGTCAGGATACCAAAGTTCAGTCCGTGATAGAAACAGGTGATCAAGTAGTAGAGAGCTGTATCTTATTAGATTAGCATAAAGTGTAACGTTAATTTCTATAATAAAGATTTAAAACTGAGGATGCCATAATTAAACTAGAATTCTCTTCTGTACAGTAAAGTTTAAATAATACAGTCCAAACAGAAAAATGATCAGACTGCTTTAAAGTACCCTTTAATTCTTTGTATTAAAGTTACATTCTGTTTATCTCGGTTACATAAAAGAACATTTTTAGTAATTGAGAATGTGAAAAAGAAAACCTGCAATTCCATATGCATGTCTGACACAACAGCTATCATTTCAGTGAATCTAGTCCAAGATGAGTTTAAATGATGAGATGCATTCATATTATACACTTCAAAATTACATTTCATATTTGCTATTATTAGTGTCACATCTGAAGTACTTCCTTATCAGGGGCAAGTATAACAAATAAACATTATCTTTTCACCCCCAAATTCAATGAAACTTTAATACCTTTTAGAACAACTGATAGTCTAGAAGCATCAATGCAATTATTAAAAAAAAATCTAATATATGCACATTAATTGATTCTAAATATTATCAAATACATCAGAAAATGAATAGCAATTTAGCCTCACCTCAAATGCTTTACTGAAGTCTAAGTCAGGTCTGAAAATGATCCTGAAATATCATCTGACAAAACTTTAATATTTTGGTTTCCTGAAAAACATTTTCTCAGTCTCTTCTTGCTACATGTAGTCCAGAAAAGACAGTCTCTAAAATCTGCTGCCAGTTTAACTGCTTTGGTGGGTTTTGCTGTCAGACAGAACTAAGGCATCCTGATAGAAAGACAACCAACAAAACCTGTGTTATCTCCTTCCTTCAGAGTACAAGGCTATAAATACAACTCCTGTCCTCCCATGAAGAAAGATCCATCATTGGCCTTTAACAGGTTCAGACATCCTCACCACACACTCCTTTCCTGCTGTTATCCATGTTTTTTTGTCAGTACACCCACACAGACAATACAGTCCATGCCAAACCTGGTTATATTTATGTGCTTTCTGTGAAAAATGAAAAAAGCATCTGAAAAGGAAGATACAATTAATCATATAGGCAGAAGAAAAGAAAATGCGAAACTATAAAAAAAATCATTACTTAATGGCAAGTGTTTGACATGCATACATCAATCTGAAAAGCTCACAGGCTCTTGATTTTTACTAACAGCATCTAGAAATTCACATCATGTATGCTATATTGCTAATATATAAACACTCCTGTTTCATTTGATTACATCTGAAATATTATAGTAATATAATTGAATTCAGGGGAAGACATGGCTGAAGTTACTTTTTAGATAGTAACAATATGTGAGATTAAATGAAATCTTACAAAATTACATGGTACAGTTTGCATTGCATAGAACACTTTGCATTCACAAGAAATGCTAATATAAAAGTCTTCTACCTTGCACTATGCAATTATTACAGTAAGTTCTGCTCTGAGCTCTGGTCCAATGCACCTCCAAAGATACCCTATGGACAAGATCCAGAGGTTGCAAGAGAGAATTTTTTCCATATAGAAGGAGATGAAACATCCAAACATCCAAGATACTGCATTCATAGAAGTATTTTGAGAGAAAGGGAAACTCTTTAGGGAAATAAATTCTTAGCTTCTGCATTGTGTGCCTAAAATCCTAGCTCTCTGAGTCTGGCACACATTTTTAATGAGTACAGATAAGTTCTGTCAGTGAGAACATCTTGAAGACTACTTGAGGGATTGATTACCTTGGCTTCTGTTGCATATTCTTGCCATGCCTCTGTCTTCTGCAAATATTTTTTTATATATTTTTTCATCTATATGCAGCTTTTATTTTTTGGTAGCAGAATATTTTTGCAATTTGTGGCCACTTAAGAATTCACTTGAAACACAAGTGAAACTTCAAGAATTTATAAGATGACTAAGCTAGCAACACAAAAGACAGATCCCTGTGATTCTGGGATCAAAGTCTCCATTCTAAGCTCAGAGTGTGCAAAGCTTGTGCCTTTATCAGAAAAAGTAGGCCCTCTCTGATGATCGTTGGAGTGCTACAACAAAACGAAGAGCTACTAACTAACATCTCTTTTTGGGCCACGCTTATGAGCTGGCGAAAAAGTGAAAATCAGGCTGACTGCAGGTATTCCATAAGAGATCATCTACACTGGAAACAATCTACTACAGAAAACATTAATGGAGGATAGCATATTGATCATTATGATGCTAAATCCTTCATGAAGGTGACTTATTACAGCACTTCCTACATGCCTGAAACAGAACTATGTGAAAAAATTAATCACATGGGCACATGGGTGCTTGTATTCACAGCTGTCATAACTAATCAGTACATCCAATCAACAAACATATTCCTCATAAAGTACAGAAAAAATAAATCAAGAAGTAATATGCAACTTCGAAATCTAACATTATTAACATTTTAGAGGAAGAGTACAGTAACTGAGCAGCTTTTATAATGTCACTTACCAGAAAATATTATAATTCAGAATGGCAAAACAAAGTCTCAGTGTGCATTGTACACGTAAATATTAAGAAATAACATCACTGAAGGATTTGCTTCTGAGGAAATGAGGAAAAACTGTAATATCTTCAGGTATTCACCTGAACTTGATGAATTCATTTAAGACCAATTTTGAAAGTGCCTAAGCTAGCTGTCCAACACCAAACATATTGCAATTATATATAAAACAAAAAAAAAAATGTGGTGCACCGGCAGTTTAAGTCAATTTATTTGGGCCATGGAGATTATGCAATATAAAACATACAGGTAAGACTGCCTCACATGGAGCAAATTGAATAGAAAATGTACTGCAACATGAGTTTCACATAAGGTATGATGAAAATATGATCAGATGTGGTTTGCAATTTTTTGGATCTAAAATAACGTGCAGTGCTAGTACAGAGAGATTGAAAAGGAAACAAACGCTGTACATGTTGTTGGTCCTGATAAAAGCTAATTCATTACCTAATTTGAAATTCTAGTATCTTCCATCATGCTTTCTTAGCTGAAAATTAATTTTCAGAATTCATTAGTGTCACTACATTAAACATAGGTTGCAGCCATTTGCTGCAATCTCACATCCAGGCTTCTAAGCACCGTTTCCATTCTGCCACAATTACAGGCAAAGATGAAGCATTTATTAGCAAGTGATAAAAGCAGACTCCCATACATGCAGGCCTGTCTGAAACAACCTCTAAAAATTCACTAGCTGCTTGCACTTGGATGATAACATTGTTGGAACTGCTATATCTCAACAATGTAAATTGCCATTTTGCAAGTAGAAAATCAGATGACTGAAAGGGGAGCAATTTTATCAGCATTCATGAGCTAATATTTACTAATGAATAAATGGAAAGAAATAGATTTCTTAAGAAATGCAGCAGCGGTCTAAATCTCCTGTGTGCTTAGAAACAGAAAACAATTACTAATGTCATTCATTACTGCAGCAAAAGCAGTAGTACAGCAGCAGCAGAAGGGTTTTTTAAAAAATTCTTTTCAATCAGATACATTATGATTTATTTGGCCTCAAATATTTTCTTCATAAAGAATGCAAGAAGCTACAATTCTTATAGCTCAGATACTTTATAATTGTTCTCTAGCATACTGCTTCCTTCAATTTTTACATTTAAAAAATGCTACATTTTCTGAAGATTTCTCAATTGCTAGCAGTGGGTTGCTGACACTTGTTTTGTCTCATGAGCCAAAGAGCCAGCGAGACATCTAGTCACTGTTTATCATCAATGTGCACAGAAGATGAATATATTACTTGGAAGAAATGATTACTATGTATCATATTTGTATTAGGCAGGGAACACACAGCCTCTGGGCAAAAGAGAGAAAGCCCCCAATCTGTTCAGCAATTGGTTTGACACACTTCTCTTTGCCACTCTTCTGGGCTGTCCCTCCGCCACACTCCTCCCACCATTCATGTGCTCCTCACACAGCTCTCTGTCACTCTTCCCTGCCTTCCTAATGCTTCACTTCTTGCACAAGTACCTGCTGCTCTCTTTGATGCCTATCAATGAGGAAGCTTTCAAAGGTCTTGAATAGTACTTCAGGTCTTCCTGAGGTGCTGAGATCCTCTCCTACCAAATACAGATAAAATAGTTACCGGGTTTCCCGAAAGGAAAAGATGGATTAGCTGGAAATGTAAAGAAGAGTTTTCCCAAAGGAAAAAGCTGAATGAATTAGGTCATATTTTTGTGAACCTTTCTCTGTATGGGAAAAAGAAGGTTGTTAGGTTCTAAGATTTTATTTTTTCCTTTCCCGTATTTTCCCATTAGAAGGCTGTTCCATGGTGGAAGATTAATGAAATCCAGAAGATA